ATGTGGTCATCCCATGTAAAGGACCTTTTGATCAACCCCCATGTGTAGACCTCACCAAGGCTTCCGGGTCGGGAAGGTGTGCTATTAGGTTCCCTCCTTGGAACGCTGGGCAGGCAGCTCTCTGGAAAAAAATCAAGTGAACAGGTCACACACACCAGGATTCAAAAAAAGGTCCGCCAGCAGAGACAAAGGCCCACTGCCAAGAAGACAAAGAAAACATGCAAGTCAGCCTGGTCATCAAGCCTGCTGCCGCTCTCGCTCTCACACACCACATTATAGTCACCATGATGCATGTGTGTGTGTGCTACATATTCAGATTCGTACATAGGTTCAGCTTTGGCCTTGCAAAATTCCTCGCCAAGCATCGTGGAGTCATTCTGAGGGAAGAAGCCGAAGCAGAATGGATCCGTCTTCCATCCTAGGCGCCAAAGACAAGACAGACCCCTTCTATGATGCGTGTGCTTCCAGATTTGAGTGTGCCAAAGGCGGCACAACTACCGTCCTGGTTGCCGTGGACCCCGCCAAAACCCCTGCTCCCTTTGAGAAATGCCAAACGGACCAGGCCCTTTGAGCGCTGAGGTCATGGTATGTCTGAGCTTTTGGCTAAGGCGCCGATGAGAGTATCCGAGTAGCCGCCCTGCTTCCCATCCTTGCGCTTGATGGTGAACTGCTTGGGGTACAGCGGCTTCCTAGGCTGAGCCCGGCGAAAAGTGTGCATTGTGCTCACTGTCGTGGGGGGGTCCTCAAACTGGCTCCAGGAACATCACAGTGTGCCACGGTGTTTTCGTGGTGATTTCTGCTGCTGGAGAAGCTTCCACTCCAGGGATGGGGCTTTGTTGCTGAGCCAATGCCTGATATTGGAATTTGAACATCTAGCAATGCAAGTGCCTGCGGTTGGATGCATGCGTTTGGCTTCGCCATCTTGCATGACACCCCATCAACGACCGGACCTCTTGATACATCGTGCAGCACGGGAACATCCCGCACTGGACCAGAACCATAGCCGATCCAGTCTGGCACAGGTCCATCAAGACTGACAATTGGGTGTGACTCAAACACAGGGGGCTACAAGGCACCCTGGTAAATGGACAAGTAGACTCAAGCCTGCGGTCCCCTGGTATACTGTTGAGGAAAGTTGTCCCCCATACAGCTGACAGCCCAAATCTCTGGAGTGGCTTGGGCCAGGCTCTTAAATTTTGAGCCACAACCGTTCAGGATGACCAGATGGCTGTGGGTCAAAATTGAACCACCAGGAATTGCACCGCAGGTTTTAGTCCATGCTTCCTTTTACCAGGGTTCCATTTTTGGGGTTACCCTATTTTTTACCCGCCAGCTCGCACGACCGAAATTCTGACGCCTTGGCTGTCAAGTCCGAGCCGCGCCACGGTCTTGGGATCCACATCCTCCGCTTTAGCGACCACTTCGCAAGGCCTCGCTCGCAATGGGCCGCTCGCTTGCCAAGAGGCCCCCTGTCCATCGATTTAGCCGTGGGTGAAAGCCCAATCGCTTGGCCCCCAGTGAACATCCCAATCCAACCACTAAAATGGACTAAGATGGGTAGTGCACCTACCCCAAAATGGTACCATTCAGTTTGACCCACAGCCATCTATCTGGGTTTCCCTTGAAAAGAAGCCAGAAGGGGGCCCTTTATTTTGTAAAGCACCCTGATGGAGAGTTCCGCTACAGTACATGTGCATGGCAGATCTGCATCCCCCTCTGCTGAAATGTGATTTTTATTTTGGTTGTTTACTCAAGCAAGACTGTCCCCGAAAAGCAAATGGCAACTTCCGGACGCCAATGGCGCTGTGGTGCGGCAAATGGTTTCGAGGCCAGTTCTCTTGCTGACCGGAAGGCGCGACAAAGAATACATAAACACAACCGCAGTTGGCAAGTCACTGACACCAATCCCAGACATATTGAGCCAAAGGCAAGCCAAGACAATTACTTGAAAGTTTTTCCAAACAAAGTCAAGACAAGCCAAGATCGATCACATCCGATCTGATCTGAGCCTAGTAGACCCAACAATTCCCAGTCTCGCCAAGCCAACAAACTACCTCAATCAACACAGCATTTGCCATCTCTGCGCGCTTTAAAGTTGCCAGGTACTTCCAGACCAAAGCTCTAGCATGGAACCCATGCGCCAAGAGTCGTGATGATGATGTCATCGTTGGGGTCGCCGAAGGCCATTCCACCCACACCCTGCGACTCATGCCTACTCCCGGCCAAGTACTGAAGCGGGTTCACGTGTGTATGGCTTAAAGTGGTTCTCCAATGGAAACCAAAAAAGGAGACCGCACACGTGTTTTTGCTTGGCTCCGTTGCGAAGAACTCTTGCCACAATGTGTGTTGTGGGCTTGTCTTCTTTTGAGGGTACCCCCCTTTGCCGGTAGTTTTAAAGGGAAACAAGAAGGACAAACGACAATTTGGAGGGGCCCCAACCTCCAAAACTTGCTGGTGCTGTAGGGAATGAGGGAATGAACCCCCCCCTCAGAGAAAACCGCCGGTGGGATGGTTCATAGGGGGTCCAGACCTGGCCATCCGTTTCCGCGTTTCCGCCGCTTCCCCCCCGCCTCGCAGAGCTGGCACCGGGGCATCTGATCTTGGTCGCAGCGCCGGGTCCGGTTCCACTTCTGGGGGTTGCCGTCGTCGGGCCCAGTGAACTTTTTCAGGGCGTCCGGCGGGGAAGTGCCCGGACGCCTGGGCCAAGGGATGGGCTGGCCTGCCTGCCTGCCTGCCTGCCTGCCTGCCTGCCTGCCTGGCTGCCTGCCTGCCTGCCTGCCTGCCTGGCTGGCTGGCTGGCTGGCAGAACCCAGAGAAACGGCCCCTTTCGAAGGGAAATGAGTCAGCTTCCATGTTAGTGGACGGAGGGTACCCACCAAAACAAAACCAAACAAAAAAAGGATACGTTTTAGGGCTCGGCGTTGCTTCACCCGCATACTCTGTCTCGAGAGTAAGGTCTATACGCGTGCGTGCCAGTGTCCATCCGACTCATTTGGGTGTGCTTCCTTCTTTTCCGGAAGACCCCTGTGTGTTTGGTAACCCCTCGCCTCTTGTCATGGTCCGCCTGCGTGGAGTGACACCAGTCGCAGGAGTTGGCCTCGTTGACGCCCACGCAGACCTGCTGCGTCTCCTTCGCCACCTCTGGCGCTCTGTCGCGCTGTCTCGGCTTCTTTTTTGTTGGGCGGCTTTGGTGGTTCAAGGGAAGCCCGGTTTTGAGTTGTTCTTGGCGGTTTTGGTGGTTTCAATATGGCGAGCCCAAAGGAACACCCACCCGGTGTTGGTTTTTTTTTGCTTAATATGCAAAACCTAAAGGAACACCCACCCATTCGTTCTTAGCTAGCTCAAAAGGACCTTCCGACCTCTGGGTCCGTGTTCAACTGCGCGCAGGGCTTCTTGGAACCCTCCGGAAGAAGCGGCACAGTGAGATTCCTTCCTCGCAGCTCTTGCCGCTTCTCCTGGGCGTCTGTGCGTGTGTGGCGTCTGACATAGGGGACAAATATGCACCAAGTGTGTCGTGTGTTCCCTTCAAAGCGAGGTGAAATGGGTGCCCTGGAACAAAAACACACACACACACACACAGACCCAAATGCAGTACCCCGTGCGCTTTTGGTTGGCTCACAGCTCAAGGCGACCCCATATCTCTCCTCTGCCAGGTGATGTACCCACCACATCACCGCCTCCCTGCAGTGGGCCTCCTGCTGCGGCTGGTGCAGATGCGGATGCTTCGCCACCGCCCGGTTCAGCTGCTGCCACTGCGCCCGGAACGCGGCGAGGGACTCCGCGCGCAAAGTCCGGCGGTCCATGGTGGTCCTGTAGATCTGCTGCAAATCCTGCGCGCAACGAGAGCCGAGTGGGGGGGGTGCACCTGTTTTGCGGGTTTTTGTTTGAAGGAGAACCAAAAGAGAGCCAGCAAAAAAACAGGGCGGCATTCCGTTGTACCGAGCCTCAAAAACACGAGCGACACCAAACAACCCCCTTTTTTGCGAGTGCCCCTTTTTGGGTTTGATTTTGAGGCAACGGGAAAAACCAACGCTTTACGACTCTTTTCGACTTGCAGTGTTGTCGAGCGCACCCCGTTTTTCGGGGCTTCCAAACCCGCATCGCGTCTTTCCCCAATCGGCATCCCGTCTTTCAGACGCACCCATCCCAGCGTCCCCAGCGTAGGCGCCTTTTTGGGACAATAGATGGGTTTCCCTGGTAATTGATTAAACCACCAGGGAAACCAGGAATCGCCCGCTGTTGTTCAACCAAACCAACCAAACAGGACACCGATGGTCACCAGGCCCACTATTTCGCTGTGGGTCAAAAATAGGGTAACCCCAAAATGGCACCCAGGTAAATGGAACCAAGGACCAAAACCTGCGGTTTTATTTTGACCCATGGTTTAATCAGGAAAAAGTTCCTTGTTTTGACCCATGGTGGATTTCATGGTGGTTTAATCAGGAGGAGGTTCCTTGCGATTTGATGGGTTCCATGGTGGTTTAATCACAATGGTCCAATACCCATTTAATTTGCTTCGGTCCTCGGAGCGTTGCTCCGCCACGAGCGCCATGAAGGCTTGGAGCTCCTCCAAGGTCCAGCGCTCGCAGGGCAGCGTTTTGTCGCTGGCCAGCAGGTGCGCGTTCAGCGTGCGGCTCATGGAAGCCTGAGGAACAGACATGGCCATGGGCTTTTCAAAATCCAAATAAATCGGTTAGCCCCCAGTGAACATCCCAATCACCACTGAAATCCCGGTTCTAAAATGGGTGGTAAATTTGGCTTTGACCCACAGCCACACGGGTATGGGTCAAAATGAGACCACCAGGAATTGGACCGCAGGTTTCAGTCCGGCTTCCTTTTACCAGGATTCCATTCTTGGGGTTACCCTATTATTGACCCACACACACACACACACACACATGGGTGAGATCCATCTCGTGTATGTGTCCCCAGAAAGGTTCCCTGGGAAAAAATAATGGAAAAAACACATGCGCCAAGAGGGAAAGTTGACAAAAGATGCTTCAGCCAGCAAAAGTGGAAACGCGCGCCAAGAGGAAACTTGGCAACCAAAAAATGCTTCAACCAGAAGAGGGGGACATGTGGGGAACCCTGGGTTTGGGATGGGACTGGAACCATCCTACATAAAACACCTCTGGGGTTCTTTGGCTGGGGATCCCTGATGAACTATAGCCCCCCAAAGAATCCTCTAGGTGTCATTTTTCTACCAGGCCTCCATGTGAACATTCAAACCCAGGAGTCTACCCAAAACAATGGAATGACTTGAAAGGGCGGAAAGCTGAAACCTTCGTCCATCCTGGTTTTGATGGGGACTGCCAGCAAATGAATCCTACCCAATATCTGGATGGTTTGTGAATCAGGTGAACATTTGCAGTAGCAGAGTCAACCGGCAAACAAAATGGATCCGTTTGAGCCATGCAAGATGGACATTTGAATTCACCTGCTCATCCGGGCCCTCCATGCCTTCAGGCAAGCGAAACAACACCGGCCTGGTCCGCACCCCGGTAAGCGTCCCGTGGCTTCTTGGTCCGCGCCCTCTGCACATCTTCCACGCTCGCGACGCTGGCGCCCCAGGCCACAGCCGAAGCCGCCAGTGCCAACACGAGACGCGCCATGGCAAATGAACTAACTACCCGCGAAGCCAAGGCGGACGCTCTGCGGCATTTGGCTGTGGCTCAGAAAACAAAAGGTACCCAAATGGAACCCTGGAAAGCCCTCCTGCTTAATTTTGAGCCACACCCATTTTGCAAAGGGTCCAAGTGAGCGGGGCGGAAAATAGGGTACACAAAACCCTCTACTAGCAAACCGCTTTCGCGGAACCTTTCGCGATGCTTTCGCGGCCACGCGTTTCACTTTCGCAGGCATGTGTTTTGTAACGAGCACTTTCTCGGAGCTTTCTCGGGCAACCACTTAGTGGGAGCCCCACGCGCGGAAGCGTCGCATTTAATCAACAAGCCAACAAGCCAACTCCTGCCTGGCAAGCTCCGCCATGAGTCGACGAAGGTACCAAGTCTGCAATGCTACACTCTTGAGCCCTGACGTGTTGGCCACGGAAAATGGCTGGCAACATGCAAATGCTGCAAGGCAGTGCTGATTGCCATCTGTTTTTTCAAGAGACCCATGTTCAAGGTCTTATCATATCCCCCGACAAGGAATCCCTTCGATTTCTCTGGCGCAACCTGCAAAAAAATGTCAGGCGCAAGCAGCAGGCGGGCGGTGCCCCCCGCCTGCTGGATGAAGCTCTCCAAAGCCTTTGGGGCTTTGTCCTGACAGCATGTGCCACGTGTCGCTGAGTCTCCGGTGCCACGTGTCGCCTAATTCCCGACGAAAATCCTCCCCGGTTTCCTGAGCAGAGTTTTTAGTGGTCTGACGATAGGACGAAAGACATGGTTCTGAGTGATGTGCAAAATGAGTCATCCGCCCTTCGGAGCATTTGTTGGCCTGCCTTTCCCCTCACAACCCATCCATGAGGCTCTTCATTTCGGCTCTCCAGACGTATCAAACGGATACATGAACTTAGAAGAAAGAAGGCCAGCTGGAGAACTTACCCCTTGGAAGGCAGCATTCACTTCAGAGACACGGCCAATTCAACCAATGAAAGCAAGGCAAAAACCGGGTCCTGCAGCAAGATGACAGGGCTCACCATTGCGGCCCAAAAGCCAAGGAGGTAGTGTTTCGAGTTTGGCATCACCTCCCATCTCCTGACGAATGTGTCAGTCGCAAAAAGGCCATGAGGCTTGGCACAGAGTACATTTGGGTATGGGTCAAAATTAAACCACCAGGGGACCGCAGGTTTTAGTCCTTCTTTCCATTTAACAGGGTTCCATTTGTGGTACCTATTTTTGACCCACGGCCATTTGAACAAAGGCCTACGCTGTGAAAACGGGAAATCCGCTGTCACAGCCGCAAGGCGAACGGTGCGCACCTGAGGCTGTCCATGGTAAAGCCGTAGACCTGCTCGATCCACGACTGAAACCTGCGAGAAAGTGAGCGCGGAGGCAAAACCCGGGACCTGCGGCAGGTTGCAATATTTGTCCCTGAACCAAGATTCTGTCAGAATAAAGAAAGCCCTCTATTCTCAGAATGGGGAAAGCACTATGTCGTTTGTTTCAGGGGGAGGTGTGTCTGCTGAACCCTTCTGACCCACATGCGTTAGCCAAGCCGCTGCTCGTTAGCGCAGAGCTCGTTGAGCTGGTGCGTGGCCTTTCCATTGGGAAGCTCTCCGTTCGAAAACCCGCCGCCGCGGTCGCGTTTCGGCGGCCGCGTTTCGGGATTCGGTGGTCTTTTGACCAAACAGAAGGGGGGTACGCCAAAGAGGGGCCAGCTGAGTCACCCACACCCAGATTCAGCCTCCTAGACTTGCCAGCCCCCGGCTTTGGAAAGGTGAGAGCAAACCGCGCACAGTCCTCACGGTCTGGACACAACAATGCTCATGCAAAGCGGGAAAAGCGACGTGATTCGGAGAAGCAATGAACAGCTGCCCGCCCACTCATGATTTTCAAGTGTGCTGAGTTCAATGGCTTTAACGGTAACCTCAAAGAACATTGTTGCAAACGGAGAACACTGAGAATTGCGGTGCCTGCAACTCCATGTTTCACCTTCAGTTCATTGCAAATCCTCCAGGTGCAAACCGCCATCTCAAAGTTTCGCCGGCAGTACGTTAATCTTGCCCAGCAGTCGGCAAAGCTCGTGGTAGCAATTGTGGTCCTCTCAGGTCTGGCAACGCATGTGTCAAGCGAGTGACATTGGTGTCTTACTTTTGGTGGACCCCAAGAACGGACTTCTTTGCTTCCTTTTGCTTTGCCTTTTAAAACCGCCAAAAAGCGGTTACCCTCGAACAAAGACCAAGCATGGCAAAAGCGGACCGGCGCTTCATCGCTCCTTCCTTTCGCATACCAGAAGGATCAACGAAAGGATTCGCTGGATCAGAGCAAATGGGTGGCGACTCAAGGCATAGAACAGCAGGGGTTTGAAGGGAACCCAACAAGGAGCATAGGTGTCCTTTTGGAAAATAGATGGACCTGGTAAAGTGAATAACACCCATCTAAACCAGTGCCTTCTCTTCTTAACCACACTAACCTAAAAAGGACACCTATGACAAGGAGAGGGATCCCTGTTGTTGAGAAACCCTGTGATCCCAACTTGTTTTCCTCTTCCACCCTGTTGAAGGTGTCAAAAAGTAGCCAACTTTTCGCGCAGATTGGTCCAGCCAGTCTGACCCGCTGGGAATGTGTCCAATCATTCGGGATGCCTTGCAGGCACTCCCTTGTCACAAAGCAAGTAGCAAGTAGCCCAGGAGGCTCCTGCAGACCCATCTTGGAGGCCAAGATGGCTGTCGAGCCCTGCGCCACAGAGAGGGGGTGCGTGGCTGGGGGGGAGGGGGGTTTTTACCATAGAGAATAAACAGGCCCTAACCCACCAACAAGAAGAGACAGTTTAAGCCCCCCAGTCCCAAGGGCAAAGTGGTGCCCTCGGCTGGCAAAGAACCACACAGATAACAAACGGGGAATCCTGTTTAACCGCAAAACTCAAACAGGAAAGGGGACCAGCGCAGCCAACCAAGCAAGCGCAGCAAGCAAGCAAGCAAAGCACTTAACCAAGCGAAAGCGGAGCAGCAGCAACAAAGCAAATCCCAACCCAATCCTGACCCACGCCCAAACACGCCCAGCCGCCGTACTCCGGGGCGTGGGGTTCGGTCACCCACGCACCGGGACGGCGCCGCTGCCAGCGCTTTTGTCGGCAATGGCAAGATTAGTCGCCGGATGGTAAACTTGAGCCAAATGCCGCATTGGGCATAGGCGTGAAATTAAACATGTTGTGATAAAAGTACATGCCCCCAAAAACACCCCCCTCGACTGTACAAAGAGAAGGAGTGAATTTGGAAAGGCGCATTGGCCGTGTTGAAGTTGAATTGCAACAAACAAGAAAAACAAAGCCGATTAGGCTACCAGGGTTCGCGACCCCATACCCGGGCACTCATTGATGCCCGGATCCCGCCACCACCCCGAATTACGGGTATGGGGCGGATTCGCGCCGGTAGCCAAATCAAACAAGAGAAAGCAAAAAGAAAAGAACAAAGGATCAACTTCAGAATGGCCGGCATGAAGCTAAAGAATTGTCATTTGCATTGCAACCACATTGAATCATCAGATTCAAGTGGATTTACTTTTGAATTATTAGATTAGGCGCATTGGCCAGTCGGTTGAAACATGGCGCGTGGACCAATGAGCCTTGGTTATAAACTGGCACCGTCTATTCGAGGACAATCGCCATGGGTACCGCCAGCAGCGATCCGCGGTCTTGGTCCGAGTAGGACATCACACCGGCGGCGGTGCAGCGCATTCGTGATCATCACGCCGGCACCTCGATGAGTTCCTTCACCAGCTGCATCAGCGGTTCAGGAAGATGTTGAGCACCAGCGGCCGTTGACGCCGGCGAGGATGACTGCCTTGCAGTGACGAGACGTACCTGACAGGACAATACGATCAGCGCGACTAGCGCACGATCATACGTGCAACTGAATTATAAGTCGGTGATTAACCGATATCACGGATTGACACCAGGAGCGTTGCCCTAAGTGTGTCATCATGCAATGATTGAATTCGTGATGTAGTCAAACACCGCGGGTGCGCATTGGCACCTTTGGGCGCGACTCAGCGCGGGCAGAACACAATAGGGCATCATTTGCCCCTGCCGCGGCCGTGTCGTCCCCTTCCCTTCCCGATCCCCGGGTGGGGGATCAGAAGGCTCGGTTTCAGCCAACTCATCATCATCACCCCAAGTTGGGGTGTGTGGTGAATGAGGGTTCATGTACGCGCCGGGATTTTCCGGCGGAAATTGCGACCAACCCTGCGGCATTGCGCCAGCCCACATCTGTGGCATCATGCCAGCCATAGGCTGCTGCATGAAGCCCCCCATTGGGAATGTGGGGTACATGGGACTAGGTTCGGAAAGGGAGCAGCCCTTGTACCCCGAGCCGCGAGCGTCGGGCTGGTAGTTGCCCGTCAGCGTTCTCGACCGGGCGGATCCGCCACGGCCGTACTGCTGGCCGTATTGGCCGCCTTTGCCCTTCTGCTGGTCACCTTTGTGACCTTTGAATTGGTCAGCTTACCTTTGCCTGCGTTCGGGTCCCCTTTGGGACCCTCTCCTTTGGGCCAGGAACCCGCAGGGGCGTTGCCCTTCCGAGTATCTCCCTTGCCCTTCTGGTCCGGTCGCATCGAAGCGGAGCGATTATCACCCCGAGGCGTAGCCGCCCGTCTGTGATGCTTTCCAGTTGGAGCATCCGCAAACGTGATGGCGCCTTGGCCATCGCGCTGCCCAGCCAGAACCATTTCGACCTTATTCAGGTCGGTGTAGATGTATGCCTCAGCATACTCAATTGGGACAGTTATTGTCCCACCACCGCCCCTCAGGGAGTCAATGCTCAACCTGAGGGTCTCGGTGATGTCAAAATTAACATCTTCGGTGGTGAAGTCCGCGAGGCAAACGTGATGGCGCTTTGGCCATCGCGCTGCCTAGCGGGAACCATTTCGACCTTATTCAGGTCGGTGTAGATGTATGCCTCAGCGTACTCAATTGGGACAGTTATTGTCCCACCACCGCCCCTCAGGGAGTCAATGCTCAACCTGAGGGTCTCCGTGATGTCAAAATTAACATCTTCGGTGGTGAAGTCCGCAAGGCGTCGCTCGGCTTGGACCATGGACATGATCACATCCTCCCGAGAGGCGCCTAGGCCGTACAGCGGGACGAGGAAACCGTCCTCAACACCGATGCGGTATGCATCATAAATATATACAGAAAGATAAAATGTAAAAGCAGATTGGAGACTATGTGGCGTCCCCACTGTGCCGCGTGTTGCGGGTGGTCGATCAAGTACGCCAGGACAGTCAAACCATCAGGAACTGGGTTTCCAGTTTCGCTCTCCTCGATGAGCAGTTGCTTTGCCACCCATCTTTCAAGCGCTTCATCACTCGTTCTCACACACGAGTGGGTTGGTGACTTTCTCCACCTCATGGAACGCCACCTCTACAATATCCGCATTGGGATTGTGTACGAGGTATGGCGCACAGCGCAAGCCAGAGATCATGCAACTGACCACCTCCCGGATCGGGTTTACCGACGCCATCAGAGGGGCCCAGCTGCGCGTTTCCGCGTATTCCCAGCTGTTGGGCAGGACTGCTTTGAGTCCGTCCACCCACGTTGGCTGTCCACGCCTGATTTGAGACTGAGAAGTCCCAGGAACCCACTCCCGATAGAAGATGGGCAAATGGCAACCATTGCATAGAATGGTGCCGTGCACAACGAGGGCACCAGTAGTCATGCATGGGAGCTTTGTCCCACGCAAATGACACCCCGCGGCGGACCCGGGACAACCGGGGCCCGAATCGCCAACGGTCGGATGTATATTACATCCCCCTCCTGGTGCAAGTAGCATGCACGCCAAAAGGGTGCGTGAATTTCCTCACGCACGGCAATGAAACCGCGTCGGGTTTTGTATATGCCCGCGGCGCCCTCAAGCGCCAGCCATTTCAGGTCGATCGCCACGACAACATGGCGCTGTCCATGTATGCGGCACGTTCATCGACGTAAAACTCGCCCTCATTATTGGGGCTTGGCAACTTAAGGAGAGGCACCTTTGCGCCCTCCATGCCGATCTGAATTTCCCCCCTGCAGATCTTGTCAGGCCGCACAGGGAAGACATGAATAACGAATTTGCCGGGACGCCGGACGCACCTCGTTTTGAGGGCAGCTCTATATTCAGGCATGGAAAGCAGCACATATCCCGTATAAGGGACTCCGCTGCCTCCATTGGCCTCAGCAAGGGCCCTCGGAGTACGATCGCGTAACGCCCAGCGCTTGAAAACCTTGTATGGCACGTCCCTCCCGATTAGGGTGGAACGCGCAAAAATCACTTCGCTTGTGACCACTGTTGGGTCATCTTCCCCCCAGACTCTCCGTATTAGGAGCTCCACTGGGGGGTAGGCAGGGTGTTCCCGTGCGAGAGCACCCGCCCACTTTGCCACGTCAAGGCCTGTGCACTTGACAATCCCGTGTAGGGCCTCAAAAAGCATGGAGATCAGGGGCATTGACATCCAACCTCCAAGTATGTCGGGAACCGTCCCGCACAAGCGGAAAGACGGATCGCCAGGCTTGACACTTACCAAATTTGGGTCCGTGGAACCTGACAAAACCTCTAGAAGCATATATGCCTCTCTGGAGCATCGTCCGGTGGCCGTTGCTGGGTCGGCGATCTCGGGGAAAAACCCGAAGATACCATCCCCAGCAGGACAGGCGATTCTGCCATATGTGCTGCTCGGGGGGTCCAACAGGACCTCCTCACCTTCGTAAGTAAAATTGTAAGTGCTCGCAATTGGACACACGGCGGGTTTTACCATTGCCGCGTCCTCAAGCGACGCACCAACCGGGAGAAGACCGGACTCATGCGCCTTGGCATCAGTCGGAGCACTCCCCTCCGATAGTTTTCGGCACGGAAGAGAGCAAACAAATGTTTCATCCTACCAATCTCTTCCTCAGGCCTTTGCCTCATAGTACGGCGGTTCCTGCTTTGAGGGAATCAGATCTCTGCTCTCCATTTCGGAGAACTTGGCAACGAAAGCCCCAATGCCGTCGTCCTCGACGTGACCTTCGAAGTCTTCGTCTGAGATGTACTCTCTGGGCGGCTCGCCCAGTTCATCCAGGTCGACCTCTTCACTGTCAACCAGAGCCGGAGAATCCAGGATTTTCTGGATCCCCATGAGCTCACTCCTGAATTGCTCAAAATCCCGCGGTGTGGTGGTTACTGAGGACGGCATAGCGTCTTCCCAGGACTCTGGAAACATGCACACGTTGGTGGGGGAATATTCATTATCGGAAATATCCCGATCACGATCCCTCACATCGCTAATCAACGTCGCATCCCAGAAGCCGCATTGGGCCCCCGGTTGTGACGCCGTCGTTGGAGATGGCACAGCGCCCTTCGGCGCTTTGGCCGCCTCTTTGGGCGCCTTATTCTTTTTGCCATCACCCCTGCTCCCCTCATTGTCCACGTCCATCGCAGACGATTGCCCGCTTCCACTTGCCCCGGCTCGGGAGTCTTAATGGGAGATTCTTTTGTACGGGCTTTGCCTGCGTACGAACCTGGCACTTGCTCACTTCCAGTGGAACCGCCGCCAGCCTCCCGCGGACGCTTGGCGGTGTGAGCTGCGCCAGTATGCACAGCAGGTGCGGACCGCCTAGGGTGGCTCTTGCTAGCCACAACACCCTGAGGAGGTGGTTTCACCTTGGGAGCCGGCTCCGCTTTGGGTGCCGGTTCCGGCTCAATGACACAAGCCCTGAGGTCAAA